ACAAAAAGTTTCTATCATAAGGAATATGAGGTCTGTGAAGATTATCTCAACAAATGAAATGTTAAATTTTAGCTGGCGTTTTACAAACTAAGTGATTCCAGATAACTAACTTGTACTTAAGAATTTAGAGAAAGAAATCAAAGCCATATAAATTTCGAAGTAAATGAGTTATATATATATCTATATGTATGAGTATATCTATCTCAAAAAAGAGGTCCCAAGAGTTTTTCCTTGATGAAGACCAGTCTGTCATCACGCATCTGTGAAGAAGCAAGTACTTTCTACTGTCTTAGGTTGTAACAGCCGAGCCTGGTGTTTCTTCAAAATTCTTTCTCAATCATCAATAAAGCATAAAAGCCAATTATGCAGTGTTTTCCAACCCTTTTCTCTTCAGGCATCCACAGGAAAGGAAAAAAAACAGTCTGTAGTCTCTCCCTACTTTTATCCAGTGAAAGGTCAAACAGGAAGCACTAACTTAAGAGAAAGCAAGCTCTGCTTTTGTATGGATCATAAAGGAGAGCAAGTTCCACCCTAAGAATGCTTGAGTCGCAAACTTTCCCAGATCCTAGGAGACCTGGCCACGTGGATTTTTTACACTTTCCATTCTGTGCTCCTGTCCGAGGTGTAGAAGACTTACTTCACTGGTCTTACAAGGAATCCCACCAAGGAACTCGTTTGTAAGCTTGGAGCTCACTGTATAGGTCACCCTAGAAAATAAGTATCGCTGATCGCTTAAGACTTAAAGAACAAATGAAAGCACAAATTTCAATCCAGTTATAGAAAACTTAAAAAGCATACTTGAAAAGTCCAGGCAGCCTGCTCTTTAGTAATACATAATACATTTAAATGATCTATAAATAGTTGTTAGACTATACTGCTTAGAGAATGATGACAGAGAAGAAAAATGTGTCCATGTTCAGTATGGGTACAATGTTTGCCCAAATATTCTCAGTCTAGTTGCCTGAATTTGTAGAACTGACTGGATAATCCTTTGAGAAGTCTAAAGAGACTAAATTTTAGTACAAGTTATTGGTAATCAAAGGCAGGAAAATTGACCAAACCATTGCTTTCCTCATCATTGAGAAAAGTCATCTTCCTGTCTTACCATGGTGAGGAGTATTCTGACTTAAAAACATCTTTTAAAAGTCATATAGAATGTCTTTACTGATCAACAAGTGGCTATATATACCTTTTCTTACTTTTTTTTGTGTGGTTCTTAGGATTGGACTCAGGACCCTGCTGAGTTATCTCCCTGGCCTCTCCTTTTCCCTCCCCTCCTCTCCCCTCTTTCCTTTCTTGAAGTATCATCAGGGATTGAACTCAGGACCTTGTGCTCACCAAGCAGGCACTTACGTCACTGAGCTACCTCCCTGGGCCTTATTATTCTTTCTTAAAGGACAGAAGTTTATGTAACAGGTATGAGGGGTAGGAGTTTCCATTCTGTAATTCATCTAAAGCAGAGATTGAGATGTGGGCTCAAATAAATGGCCACAAAACAGGTTTTAGCAGCTGTTTTTTACATAATTGTTATATAGAAAAGCTATTGAAATTTACAGTTTATTCATTTAGAAAGCTTTAAAAAAGAATGTCATCATTAATTTGGGAAGAACTCTGAGGTCATGGAATAGTATGATCCCCCACCAAAAAAAAAAAAAAAATCTAGAAATTAGAAACCAGAAAAATGAAGAATAAAATTCAACAATGAAAATACCCATGGAAATAGATACTAATGATCCTAGAATGCATGTACGTAGACTTCAATGTCAGGGCTGAACTCTACAGAAGGAATCTTACTAAAGTATACTATCCACCAGAGCAGACTGTCTGCTTATTTCAATGTCACTGTCTCATTTGTCCTGGGACTCTGTAACACTTTGCTATTTTCAATTTATAGCTGAGTCACTGCCTGTATCTTTGCTCATGTAAGTTATGGGACTGCCTTACTATAGAAAACTTTACTACAGTTAATCTCTATAAGAAATATGGCAACCCTCCAACTGAAAGCAATTTTTCCTTTATAGCTATACTGAAATGCTTATTCTTCTATTTGATAAATAAGTTTTCTTGCTGGGGATATAGCTCAGTGGCATAGCACCTGCCTGTCAAGGTCCTAAGTTTGATCCCCCGCCCCCTCTCAAAAAAACAAGCATTTTCAGGAAGAAAGTGTTAAGTAAAATAGGTACTGTAATTTTTGGTCAGTACTTTGAGCAGAAGAACATTAAAAAAAATTAATCTATCATGATTCCATACTCTAAGAATAGGCAGAATAGCTGCTTTTCTCTTTTCCATTTAAGCCTTGTCATAGGCAATAAATTTGAGTTTTTCTGGATCCCAGGTTAATTCATTAGCTTTTTTTTTTTAATTTTTATTTATTTGTGTGTGTGTGTGTGTGTGTGTGTGTGTCCAGCTCAGCCCACCAGGGGGCGGGGCTGGCTGGCATGTGGTGCTGGGGGATTGAACCGCGGTCGCTGTGCTTTGCTAAGCTTGTTCTAAGTAGGTGCTTTAGACCACTGAGCCATCTCACCAGCCCCTCATTAGCTTTATGTAAAAGCTATACTCCGAACACACAGATCCATCAACCAGACCTACCCCTAATCAGCCTTTTTGAGTTATAAAGATTTGGTTGTGAGCAGTTCATCTCTATTAATATACCCAATATTTTATTTTACTGATTTACTGCTTTATTTCACACCTAGGTATCTTTCCCCTGTTAGTATACTTTTTCTAAGAAGTGCTCTTCTCCCAACTTACTCCACTGCTGGACTTCTTTTACTCCCGGTTTTATTTTTATGACATAGTTTCACAAAAACCACCTTAAACCCTTCTTGTTTCTCTGCTTCTGCAATCTACAGTTTCTTTTCTAACAGCACTCACAATAATCACTGGCTTAGGTAACAGGCATTATACTCACGACAGGTGACTATATTAACTTTTCCCAGATGTCTGTGATCTTGTAAAAACCTTTGCAAATGCCAAACGTCACTTTAAGGTCAGAACCACTTTTAAATATTTCAACTCACTGAAGTACAATTATATATATATATATGATACATATATGTATATGTAACATATACATAGTATATATATTTTTTAAATTTATGTACTTGGTACAGGGTCTCTCTACGCAGCTTGGACTTGTAGTGATCCTCATGCTTTCAGCTTCCCCAGCGCTGAGATTACAGCATGTGCCACCATGCCAGACCGTCTCCGGCTCGGCATGTCTGGGGACGGGGCCCTCGCGGCATGCTATGGGGGGCCCTGAACTTGCCTAAGCAGGTGCTTAGTCTGCTGAGGTATCTTGCCAGTCTTTATTTATTATATTTATTTCTGACTTCAACTAGGGTTTCTTACAATGTGAAAAGCACATTCTGGTTGAGATACATTGTACAGTGTGTAATGTTAAAGTATGTCATAAACTTCCAAACACTCAAGCTAGACATCTTTCAAGATGTCACAACTCTGCCATGAACTGAGGAATAAACTACTGGAACACAGATTATTTAAGCAACTTTCAGAGTTACTGAAATGATTCAATAGTAAAAAAATATTGAAACTAAACCTCAAAAGGCTATATTCAACCTGTTCATGTATAAAAGAATTATTTACATCTTAAAATGTATTTCCAACAGAAATACTGTAGATGCTAAATTGACTCATAAACCACACATAAATACATATTTAATGAGATTCTAGTTATTTACAAAGGTCTTACAAATTCTGGCACCTTAGTTAAAAGACAGCAAATAACTTACATCAAAAGCTAGATGGAAATATTAGACTAGGCATAGTAGTCCCAACCTGAAATCGAAGTTACGTGGAAGGCTAAAGCAGGAGGATAAAAAGTGTAAGGCCAACCTGGATAACTGCAAAATTGTTTCAAAATATAAAAAGCAAATGGGTGGGGAGGCAGCTGAGACAGAGACAGAGACAGAGACAGAGACAGAGACAGAGACAGAGAGGATAGAAAGAAAAGGAAACGGGTAAGGTATGGCAAGGTACAGTAGGGTAGGGTAGAGTAGCAGAGAAGGTGGGGCAAGGCAGGGCAGGCTGGGCCGGGCCAGGTCCCAAGGTTCCTTGAGCCTAAGGAGAAAGAAATCAAGATCAAGAAAGATCAAGAGTTTCTGGATAGTGGGGCAGCAGTCTACAAAAGGCCAGCCAAGTAAATATAGTTTCTGTTGGAAATACTCAATTCTGTCATTGTAGTGTGAAAGTAGTCTAAGACAAACATAAAGAAATGCTTTCACTTTTAAAACCTAAGGGCCGGAGAGATAGCTCAGTGGACTAAGTGCCTGCTTAGGCAAGCACAGGGATGGGGGTTTGATCCTGGCACCATTAGCTGCACCAGCCCTACCCCAAGGCACGCTGAGCCAGCAACAGAGACTGGTGTGGTGATACATGCCTGTAATACCAGCACTGGGGAGGCTGAAACGTGGAGGATCACTACGAGTCTGAGCTGCGTAGTGAGACCCCGTATCAAAAATACTGAAAAAAACAAAAATAAAACAAAACAAAACCCAACAGCACCTAAAACACCCTTTCCTTATGGACACTAAAATTTGAAGTGCACATATTTCTACATATCACAAAAATTTTTTAATCTACCATTTAAACATATATAAAAATTCTTGGTAGTTCAGAGTCCATATTTAAAGAAAACCCTGTGGTAGGGCTGAATTTGGCCAGCGGACTACCGTCTGTGAAGCTCTGGCCTGTGGAATGGTGGGAATAAGTGATCTGATAACATGGGAGAAACTATTCACCAAAGCTCTGGCATTAGCTGAACTAGAAATGGAGCACTCCTGCCTGGTGAGCACACGCGGCCAGATCAGGTTGAAAAACTATCACATTTTACTGACTTCGACACAAAAAGAACTCTAGAAACATAATCATGGAGTCATGGGCAAAAATAACTCTCACACATAAGAATTATAATTTTAAACAGATAATTCATCTTATAGAAAACACCCTAAAATTATAACAACAGATACACTCCTCCTTACCATTTTGTCCCTGAGCCGCTCTCCACGGATAAAGAAGTCAGCACAGCCATTCTCCTCCTGCTGAGGGACTTTGAAGACAGTGACGCTGCTCAGACCGCTCCCGCCAAGGGGTAGCCATCCACCGCTTGAGTCATCTCGGGTCATCACCACAGCTCGCACTCGTGCATAACTATTACTAAAATAGATGCAAAGATCAGGAATTATCTTTTCCATAAACAAAAACCAGCCAAGCCATCCATCCCATTTGAGCAACCAATGACCACATTAGTAGTCCGTGGTGACTAAAGTGTTTACTACTTTTATGACAGTCCACAGAAAGCAATGTAGTTGAAAAAGGTTAAAAGCCACAAATTAATTTCAAAGGTTAGCCTTTAAAGACTAACCAAAGAACTCTTACTTGAATTTGTCACTTCAGTAGTTCAAGCACATTTGAATGCATAGAGCAGATTATGTATGATTCTAGACAAAAAACTATCCAACCATATAGGCTAACATCAAATTAGTCTACACATGTCCATTCACTCCAATATTACAACTGGGACAAATTACTATACTTCAGCACATTTAGTTGTGGGGTTTCTTAAATTTTCAATATTCCTGTGACACATTATAAATAAAATGTTGAAGCAAGCTTAGGCCTAGATGCTACATTTATTTCTTTTACCAATAGGGAATCTAAATTATTTACAAAAATCATAGACAAATGTTCAATTTAAATTATTTAGCAAGCAAATCAATCTACAGGAGCCTTTCATACCTTCTTTTTGGTACAGTCTATTCTTGATGTTGTAGAGATGGATTTTTTTTTTTTTTTT